CATGAAGGACTCTGCTGAGACTATCACGCTTGGCCATGGGATCCTACCAGAGGTGGTAAATTATCCCTGAGGAGGGCAGTTTGCAGGAAGGTTTAAAATTCAGAAAGAGGCCAGCTCTCTGAATCCAAGTCTGTGGAAATGAATTTTTTTGGCATTTGTTTTTAATGTCCTGCGATGTGTGGGTGAAAAAGCCAGCAAGCTAGACTGGTAATTAATTTTCCTGACAGAAACACCAGACAATGAAATTACCCTGCCACAAAGCAGGGTTGCTAAAGTAAATACTCCGCCAGCAGCAGGCCTGAAAGCAGGATGGGGTCGTGTGTGAGGTGCAAGCAGATGATGAGATGGACTGCTGCCTCTGGGGACCTGCGGGTGCTGCCAGCACGGGGACCCTGCTGCCCCGGGGCACCAGCAGCTCCCTGGGGTACACAGGCACATTCAAGCTGGGCTCCAAAGGATGAGGAACTGACTGGACTCACTGCTGAGCTGAGGAGCAGGTCACCCTTTGCTGTCCAGGCAAGTAATTTTCTTGGAAACAGGTAGGGATGTGGGAAGTGGGGGTGGGATGACTGCTTTTGTCCTGGAGATAGAGGCTCTTGGCAGGGCTCTTCAGTCTTTCCTGGGCTGGTGGCAAGTGGTTTCTAAGCCTTTGGTCTGTGCTGGTGTGATTTGTGTGAGCTGTAGAACAGGTTGTGCCTGTGCTTGCAGAAGGGGAGTGCCTTTTGTTGGAAGACATCGAGGGCAGCTCATGGGAGAGGAAGGACAGGAGGGCAAAGTTTTCTGTTTTCCTGCTGTGTGTCTTGTACTGGAGGCAGGAGTTACTGTGCCAGGAGTGTTGCAGATGCACAGCCAAGAAATGGCTGGAGAGCGGGAAGTGGGGATGTTCTTGCATGTATTGAGGTATCTGGCAGCTGGCTCCACTGTGGGCTGGCAGACAAGATCCCTCAACGCAACCGAAAGGTTTGGTGAGTCTGTGTTAAAAAACCTGTATTGTTGGTACAAAAAATACTTCTCTGTGCAGTCATGGAGAGATCTGCCAAAGATTTCAGTGCTGTTTGGGAGGATCTGCTGCCACGTGATCGTCCTTCCAATTTATGATTGCAATAGTGGGATGTGCGCATTTTCATAGGGCATTTTCCCTTGTTACACAGTGCTAGCAGCTGCAGAATGCAGAAATCCCACACAAGAACTGTTTAAGACATGGAAACTGTTTTCTTTCCCTTTGGGAAAGAGAATTACACTGTTTTTCTTGCTGAGCTAAATCTGAGTGCTTTTAGGAAAACAAGGGTCAGTTGTGGAGTGCACTGCATGCACATTTCAGGACCGGAGTTATTTAATGTATTCATTATCTATAAAAAGTACTGGACCAGTAGTGAAGTGTTCAAGCATGCAGATACCACATACTGTCTTAGGTTAGGCTGCAGAAAAGAGAGAGGATCATTTAAAGGACTTGATCTAGATTACAGAAAACATTATGCTAGATCAGTGCAGTACCGAAAGGCAGTAAACATTGGAAGAGAAAAAATGAACTGTTTCTGCATAATTTTATGTCCTAAATTAACTGCAGCTTCTCTGGAGAAAGGACTGCGTGTCTCAGAGGATCTCCCAGATAAAACATCTGCTGAAATGCCTCGTGTCACTCCAAAAGCAAACAAAATATTAAGCTTAGGGAAGACTGGAACGCAAAAGCATTCTGTAAATAGTGTAAAATAAGTCTGGGGAATATCCTTGTGTTTAACTCTTTCTAGGTCTGTTCAGCCTGTCTCCAAGCAGTCAGGAAGAAGAGTTGCAGGGTCAGGCAGTGGAAGTGGATTGAAACATCCATGGGATGGTACACTGAGAAGGCAGAAGCCGCTGCAGACATGGGAGAGCAGGGCAAAGATATAAATTCAGCTTATGGTAAAGGACAGGTGATTCAATCATTTCCATCTTCACCTCTAAACCAATCTATGTGAACGCAGAGTGAGAGGTGACAAATTTAAACCTGATGAAGGCAAATCAAGCTTTAAACAGCCAAGCTAAGATAAGAAGAAGGTTGCCTGTGGAACTCTGTGCCATAACATGTGATGGAAGTCAAGATCTCACCTTTTCTTAAAAAACTGACATGCTTATATTAAGAAAGAGAGGAGTTGCATGTTAGATACTACGACCAGAAGGATGTATGCATCCATAACTGAGTATAAAGAGCAAGGTCCACCACAGTGGAGATTCAAAGGTATTCTGTCAGTGCACGGGTTGGTTCATTACAGAGTTCATAGCATCCTGCCCCAAAATGCTTGGCATTGGCCATTTCAAGCAGGCAGAGCACTGCTCCTGGTGACTGCAGCTCCCTCTTTCCCTCAGCAAACAGGAGGTATCTGCTGGCTGAAAATCTGGAATCCTGTGTGGTGTCCACTACTTGTTGTTCTTGAGGTGTCTTAATGACTATTTACTTCAGTTAACAAGATCTTTTTGTCTTAGAGCCACTCCCTTTCTGTGGAAAAATTACTGTGCTTACATGAAGGCTGGGAGAAAACCACAGCAAGTGGTGTATGTAAGGTACCATATCACCTAGATGTAGCCCCTTCTCAGAGGCATTCTCACCATTGTTAGAATTCATAACATGAGTGATGTTCTGTTTAGTTGCACTCTTTGTGTTTAAATAATATGGACATAGACTTGTGCTTTTCTCCCCAATAGTGAAGATGATAAACTTCCTCTGCATCTTAAAAAGAAATTCTCTCCTTATTACTGCACTCCAGAAAGTGGAGCTTTCAGGTAAACCCACTGGACAGCCAAAGACTCAGGAGAAAAAAAATTAAGAGATTTTGGAATCTCAAATTCTAGGTCATCACTTTTTGCAGGGGTCTGAAGGTGTTGGCAGCCTAAGTGTGGGGAGAGAGGAAGGGAGGGGTGTGCTGCATATGACAGCAGTGCAAGTGGTTTTTTATGCACAGGGAGTTTTCCACACAAAATCGTGTTGGGAATATCCCTACAGTCCACCCCTCCACTTGAGTTAGTGGGAGGGATCTGAAGTTGAGGCGATTCATGGCTGAGCTCTCATTAGTGACCAGGGACATTTCCTTCACAATGTGGAAGGCAGGCAGGGAGAGGCAGATGGCTTTGAATGCAGGATTTACATAGTAATGAGATTCAGGTCACCATAGCTGTCTTTTTCTCTCTGCATTTTGTCTAGGTGTCGGGTAGTGTGTAGGGATGACAGGGATGACGGAATAGGGAGGAAAAGAGGAAAATTAACCCCTTGTTCATGAGGAGAGGTTGCTGTTAGAATAAATGTTTGTCACAGTGGGCTAAAGAGCAGTAGGGTATGACAATGACAAGCACAGATGAGGCTAGAAGTAGCCACTTTTTAGGTTTCTGAGTTGTTTTTGTGGGAATGGCACAAAGAATTCTAACTTTAAAATACCAGAATTTCCTGTAATTTTTACGTTCTGCATTGCTGGTTTAAGAAGAGGTCGTTTGGGACTTTTATCATTACAAGTCCCCCCAAAACTGGGGGAGTTTGTGGACTGAAGACAGGGCATGGATTCTTGCTACAGAGTCTTTGCTTCTTTGGAAAAAAATTACCATTTTGCTTGGTTTCTTGGCTAAAGACTTGTCTTGACATGACTATGTAATGGTGTGATTAAAACATAATATTTTCCACTGCAATTGGTAATCCTTAGTATGATCTCACTAGTGTCAGATCTTATCCTGATGACAAATGAGGAACTGGGAACCATAGGTCCTATTTCGAGCTTTGGATGGTGGCACTTGATTTGATCAATAGCCAACCCCAGGCATTTCCAAAATATGCATAAGGGCCTGAGAAATCCCAAGGCTATATTTAAAATGATGAAAGTTTTAAAGCAGTGTGTGTCTATTTTATCTGTCTTCTGCTTTTTCTTTCTTTATACTTAGAGGAGTATGGGCAAGTAAGTTATCCCATGACACCAGAAACTCGGGCTTTAGTAGCATTGCAAGAACAGGAGAGAAGCTTTAGGAGATCCTTGTATAAATAGGAACTGTGTCATATAACTGCGTGTCTAGGTGTTATCCCACCTAGACAGAGGTGGGATAAGTAAGGAAGGTGTTTGTGTGTATAAGGTTTTCAGTATTTGGAAAATATTTTTGGTTCTTTCACACAGAGTTTTTGAAATTCAGAACGTTTGGGGCACATAGGTCAGGATTCTTCTTGTCTCACCTTGGCCACTGCAGTTAAGCAAGTTCATCTAACCTCATCCTAGACCTTTTCAGCATCAGTGGAGAAGGATTCCAACCATCCCATGGCAGTGGGACAGATTCCCCCTGGAAGGGGAGGGAGCAGAGGTGCTTTGGTGGCATCTCTTGGAGATGGCAATAAATGCATAGCCAGAGAGCTGCTGCATTTTAGCTGTTTGGGCTGAAAGGGAAAAGGAAATCTAATCAGGTGGCTGGGACAGACTGGGAAAGGAAGGCTTCTTGGCTACTTCCTCCTGAGGAAAAGGCTTAGGTCTAATAGATCTAATGACATTATTTCTTTTTTTTTATTGTTACAGCCATTTGTTTAAAAAGTCAGTAATCCTTTTATACCAGTCCTGTAATGATTATTTAATGTCTGGCTGTTTGTGAACCCATGGAGCTGTGTGAGCAGAGGATGCTTCACCGCAGGGGTTGTGCACAGTTCTCCACAGGACAGCGAGCTGGGCCTGAGAACCTCGAGTGGGGGCCTTGATTGGTGCCTTCATATTCCCACTTGCTGGATGAATTCAGTGGTAGTTCCCTCCTTTGCAAAATGCTGCCAGATGTGAGGCTGTCTCTTGGCTGTATATGGCCACAATACTCTTCTGTAAGGCTAAATATTCACCGACTAATGTTTGGTCAGCAGGCACTGTGCCAGTGACCAGTGAGTCCCTCAGCTCTGTCAGAGCAGTGACACTTGCTGGTGGCAGCTCTGAGTGTCACTGTGGGCACCAGCTGCCCAATGCCAGCTGCGCAGCTCTGCTCCCCTTGCTGATGTTTTCTGATCTTTTTCTTTGCAGAGCCCCTGAAATTATCCTCGGTTTACCCTTTTGTGAAGCAATCGATATGTGGTCATTGGGATGTGTCATTGCAGAGCTGTTCTTGGGCTGGCCCTTGTACCCAGGAGCTTCAGAGTACGATCAGGTGGGTGTGGATATTGCCCTGGGCACTGGTAAGTGCACACATCTATTTCCCTTCTCTTGTCAGAGTGAGCAGATGCCAAGTTTTTCACTTTGGCTAATGATGGATCCGTATTTCTTGCTCTCCCAAGTCAACATTGTCATTATGCACCTGGGTATTTGTTCCAGTGTGCAACTTGGTACGCTGGCTTTTAAGACCTGGCTGCCTGAGTGAAATCTCAATCAAGAGTCAATGCTGCCATTGACTGGAGAGCTCTGTGCATGTCCCTCCTCGCTGAGCAGAGCAGGCACCCGTTCTCTGCTGTAACAGCAAGTGCAGTATAAAGCCTTACTTGTTAGAAGAAACTGCATGAACTCAGCTGCATTTCATAACGCCTTTTATGAGAGTGCATATTAAAAGCAGTGACAAGAAGGAGAACGTTGGCATTGATGTAGGTTTCCAGTTAATATAAGCTGTCGTCCCTTTTCTCCCTATAGGCTTTTATGCCCTTTTTGTAGTCCTAAAACCGATAATGCAGCAGCAGCTAGAGCCAGGGCTGTAGAATGCTTTGCATTCCCACAGTATTCTTCAGGCCGATCTTAGCTGTCTGAAAATGCAGCCTGAAAAGGGTCTTTTTTTCTTTTAGGAGATAAATTTTTTAAAAAGGAAAAAAAAAAAAAAAGGCAAGAAAATAAGTAAGTTTTTCACATACTGAAATGTTTTCTTGACTTTTCTTTTGAAACCAATATTTTTTTAATCAGAGCTCTAAAGGTAAAATTTGGCAGGGGAAATAACTTGCAGCAAAGAGCAGGGCTATTAGTGACTCTAAAGGAAATCAAATGTAGCTGAGAAACTTACAAGCATTTGAAAATCACATACCAAGCATGAAAAGTAGATTTCTTTCTCTTCCCCATTGCACCCGAAAAGCCATAAAACACACAGCTGGAAAAGAAATCACCATACCTTACTGGCCAGCTTAACTGCCCAGCACAAAGCTTCCTCTGGTAAAGTGCAACGAGGGCTCCTGGGGAGCTGAGAAAGGGATAGGGGCTGATCCTGGCCGCTGGCTGCAGCACTGGCACAGGGCTGCATGCAGGATGCTGGTGCCTCTCGAGTGTGTGGGCTCTGATGGACCTGAGGAGCTGCAGAGCTGAGCAAGCCATGCACAGTGAACTGGGGTCTGGGTGCTTGGAAGTGATTGAAAGCATGGCTGCTTTTTATGCCTTTATGTATTTAATGTTTTTATCCTTCTCTGTTTCTTCTCTCAAAAACACTTTCCATCCTTCCCTAGAATTTTTTAAGTAGGTGACTGGTTTTAGTAGTTTTGCAGAGTTTGCAGCAATTTTGAAGAATGAAGCCATGCAGGAGACAGGAGGTGCCAAAGTTAAGGTTTTGTGTGGCACCTCAGGCATGTGTGACATTGGTCTTTAATTGTGTATATCACAGACTCTTTATAAATAAATAAAAGTTTGAGATTCTGGAAACACAAATAGAGTATCTTTTAGCTGTGTGGGTGCCAATGAGGTCATGCTTGTGGATGCAACCCAAATAACATCATGTAGTCAGTAGAGACAAGTACTTTCCATACCATGAGGGTGTCAGTTGGTTTGAGTGTATATTTCACCCTAGTTCAAAAGCAGTCGCTTCATTATCCTCTGTTTGGAACTTCAGACTCCTAGGACAGGCTGTGTGCTCAGGTGGAAGAAAAAGGCAGAAGTTAGAGAGCAAATATCAAATTGCTGAAATGACTTCCTAGAGAGGAGAGGGTGCGAAGTGTTAAGGCATCCCATTGAAATCACTGTGTGGGTCCTTCTCTTTGAACTTGAAAAATTTAGGAACTTTCCTCTTTTCATCCTTAGGCCTTGTGGGAGTGTACTCTAAGGGTGAGTTTCCAGTGATGTATGTGATAAATGGAGGGAATTCCATTCAGAAATTATCTTCCTCTCATTCCTTGCACTGAGTTTTTCAGTGTGAAGTTTCTCTACATCCTACATCTTCTTTTTTTGTCTGTTCTGTTGGTTGAAATGCCTCCTGAACTCCTTCAAGGAAAACTTCCAGAGATCTCCACAGGATGAACAGTGACCTCTCATCCTTCTCTTACAGATTCGCTACATTTCACAGACGCAGGGCTTACCAGCAGAGTATTTGTTAAGTGCAGGGACAAAGACGACGAGGTTTTTCAACAGGGATACAGACTCACCATATCCCTTGTGGAGGCTGAAGGTAGGAAGACATTCCCTTGTTTCTTTTGCCTTGGAGTTGTTAGTTGGAAGTGAGGAGACACTCAGGTCACCTCAGAGCGTAAGTTTCTGCTTTTTGCAGTGCAGCACAGACATAGGGGTGGATCCTGCCCAAGGTAAAACTGCCATCCCCAGAATTTGGAACCTGTAATACACCTGCTTAGCATTGAAATGTAGGAAATTTAAGTCCAGAGTTGACTTGAAAATCTCCCTCTAAATAGTCAGTGATTTTGTGTGTAGTGGGAAGACTTTGCTCTAATATCTAACTCATTGTGGGGGGGAAAAAAGGCAAGCGTTTTAATTCTACAGTCAAAACCTCTAGTAAAGCAGGTGAGCCCTGAGTGTCTGGTGCCAGTGGGTTTGGCTGCATGCTGTCCCCAAGGAGAGAGGCCAGTGGACTTCTGGCTGGGATGGGATGCTGTACCTCAATGTCAGGGTGGATGTGAAACCCACCATGGTTGGGAGGACCCTCAGAAGTGAAATAGAAGAGATAAATGACCTTGTAACATAAAGGATGTCACATAACCGTGGTGGAGATCATGTAAATGGTGTCTGGTCAGGCAAGAGAGGCATGATGGTCCCTGATGAGGACAGGATGAGGCACATGTGGGAAGTGGCACATAATCTGCAGCTGGTTGCAGGGCAGTGTTGGTCAATGCCTGTGTCCTGTTTTGAGCAGACGCCAGATGATCATGAGGCAGAGACGGGGATTAAGTCAAAGGAAGCAAGGAAGTACATTTTCAACTGTTTGGATGATATGGCACAGGTAAGAGTGTTGGTGAGTAACCAACAAGACTGTTCGCATGTTTTCCAGCAACACCAACAAAAGGGAATTATGGAAGTTCTCTGTGTATCCTATTCTGGGGCCAGCTCCTGAAAAATACCAGGATTATGCCTATCAAATTTGCTGTTATGTGCTGCTTTGTAGGAGTGACTGCACACGGGGGTATGTGTGCTGTAGTAAAACAGCATTGGAAGGTGGCTAAGACACGTCTCTGTGTTGAAATCCTGCATTTTCTCTTGTCTCTCCAGTGCTCTTCTGTATGACCGCTGGCAAGTCACTTGCTTTCCCTGTGCTTTAATATTCCCATTTGTTAAACGGTGACAGTAGAAATATTCACCATGGCCACAGAAGAGTGTGCTCGCTGTAAAACGTGGCTGGCTGGGGGAAGAATGGGAAGTACTAACTCACTGTGTCAGTTCCATGTCATTGTGAGAGCTAATCCCAGCATAACCACTCCTGTGACAGGAGTTTGTGCTGACAAACCAGTGCAAAACTGGCCCAATGCTAGCACCAAACTGGAGTTTGTGCCAGCAAGGTCTAGACATTGTACCAAGTAAAACATGTAAACATGCAGGAATGAAGGACTGGAATCTGAGGAGACTGGATAATTAATGAAATCATATAGCAAGTCTTTTTTTTTTTCCTGGCACCTGATACATGAATGGGGTGTTTCTCATAAACCTACTGACAATTTTTATGTATTTTATATATTTTTTTGTCATAGAACACATAGATAAGTGTCTGATGGCACAGTATATGATAAATACTGTGATTATCAGAGCTTGCCTGCTACCACATGGAAGCTTTTCATCTTCAGTGGAGGGTGACTAAGTGTTTCATTAGCCACTGACCCAGGCGAGCTGAACACTTAACAGTCTGTCTGGAGATGTGACATGCACAAGCCACATGAGTGGCCACCACAGAGTGTGGCGTGGCTCTTCAGCAGCTCCTCCTTTAGACCGGGAGGCTCGCAGGGCGTGCACTCCAACGAGGAGTAAACACAGTTTGCTGGAGACCTGACCATCTGCTCTTCCCCTTCGGCACTCACTCCTGTCCCTTCTCCTTTAGGTAAACATGACAACGGATTTGGAAGGAAGCGATATGTTGGTGGAAAAGGCAGACCGGCGGGAGTTCATAGATCTGTTAAAGAAGATGTTGACGATAGACGCGGATAAGAGGATAACACCCATTGAAACTCTGAGCCACCCTTTTGTCACCATGACACACTTGCTCGACTTCCCTCACAGCACACAGTACGTGGCTTTTGTTCCCCTTGGGTCTTGAATTGAGGGGTGAAAAGGAGAGCTGGTTGTGGTGGAGACCAAGTGTATCTGAGGGGCTTTAAGATGTTTAATCCCTAAGTTTTAATCTTTTCCTGCTTAAAAGAAAAAGATGATTGCCAACTCAAGGTTGCAAGAATTGGGTTGTAGGTGCTTGGCATTTGAAACGCTTCAGTGTGTGCTACATTAATTATGTAAATATTCAGTAATTACATATTTTTGCATTAAAATGTGGGAGAAATTATGCAATTATTGCTGAAAGTATCAGTCTATTTCAAAGTAATATAGTCCTGATTGTTACTGGGGTAATCAACCTTATCTGCAGTGGGGGACCGACCCTTCCTCCCAGAACCTTCCCATCGTGCCAGGAGTCAGCTTGGGGCTGTTTGCTTTCTAAGCTGTTCTGCAGCAGGCTGTTTTACAGGCATAAGCACCAGGATGAGGAGTTTGATTTTCATCCTGATTGTTGTCCACCTGTGTCACCTTAAATACCACGTTCTGACCTCATCTGACACATGTAGAATGAGGACGGGCTCCACTGCCTGATGGAAATGAGAAGTCACATCTTCAAGCCTGACTGCCCTTCTCCTAAGGCTGCACCACAGAGCACAGCAGCCTGAAATGCAGGATACCTGTCCCCAGCCCACTGCCCATGTCCAGTTCACATAGGAACAGGCTTCTCAGGTGTAAGTGGAGAAGGTAGACACATAGTGGGGTTTTACAAAGCATTCAGGACACTTAGCTTTGAACATCCTGCTTTACAGCACCTGGCAGTTCCTGGTGCTTTCACAGGCTGTCCCTTCCCCTTGACAGGAGAACAATTATTGGCACAGTGCTGTATTTTCATTGGGTGCTATTTGCATGAGTATTTTAAAGGCTGTCAGGAGCTCAGGTACAAAATTAAAGGGGGCTGCTTGAAGAGCTGCAGAGCAACAGGTAACTGTGTCAGCTCCCCTGCCTGTATGGGTGGCTGCGGTATTTTGAATTTGTTTAAGGTAGCTTTCCCCCTTTGAAGGTGCTGTAGCTGCCTTTTTGTTACATTTACCACAAGATAAGAGCATCTGCTTACCAGAAGGTAGTGGGTGCACGATCTGTGTAGACCCAGACTTAGCCTGCACAACCATCTTTGAGCATTGTTACCTATAAATAGATGGTAAGTGATAATGAAAACAAGATGGGGCATGATTGTGCTAAACAGGAAAAAAGTAAAGTTTCATATAAAAAAAATATCATGAATAAAATATGACAGCAAAATACTGAGTGAGCATCACAGACAAAAGTCTTTTAATTTGCAACAGTCCTTCTGACTGTGCAACAACTGATTGTGTAAGATAGGAGAGATTCGTGACCTAATGCATTGCCGTCAGAAATCTTTCCACTAACGCAACAGTCCATAACCACATCTTCATTTTTGAAGTGCTCACTTGTGGCTGCTCAGGCAAAGCCCCAGAAAGATTGAAAATATCATTGGGGCCAACAGCAATGAGAATTTTAGCCAAATAAAGAATTCAGCATCACGTCTCTGAATACCAAGTGCGTGCCAGCCGGGTGTGTAACCCCGCAAGCCCCTCCACGCTGGAAACAGTGACTGGCAAAGAGAGCAATAAGCTGTAACCAGCATGGCAAGTGGATGGAGCTTTTGTCTGTAATTACTTGTGCTTTGGAGAATAGAGACTTCAAAGCCTTGAAAGATGCAGGGAGCTATAATCTCTCTTGGAAATAAATTGGGCAGCAGAAAAAGTGAGGATATATGGAAACTGTAGCTTCTGGAAGGAATTTCTGCTGTGGCACGTTTCAGAGAGGCTGCAAGTTCGAGCAGTGCAAGAGAGGCTGTTCTGCTTTCTTACAAGCAAACAGCAAAGTGAACTTAGCTTCCCATTTCACATATTTAACTTCCTGGCTCTTAAATTTACTCCTCAGACTTTCTGTCTGTTTTGCTTTGTCCCTGCTGGTTTGTTCTCCCACCTTTTTTTTAAAGTAAAGCCAGAGAGCTTGGTATTGCATTTGTAGAGCTTACATCTTATTAGATAAAACCATTTGATGACACACACCTATACTCCTCCCAGTGCTTTCTTCTTTGTGCAGGAAGAATTATATTCATACTTGACTGAAAAAAAGTGATCCAATAGCCTTCTATATTTATTTGATAAGTGTTTGATTTTGCTGGACGTTCTGTGACCAACAGGTACAGTTCTGGAAGTGAATGCACATGATGGGCAGCTGTGCAGTGTCCTGAGCCTGGCTTGTCTGCAGGTTGTTTATGACCCAGATCCAGTTACCAAGATATTACTTGTAGGATGAGAGGTGACCATTTGAGTAAGAGACAAGACAGGGATAAAAAGATTTAGGTCCTCTTCATCAGCCTTAGGGATCATACAAGATTGTTCTTTTTGAAGGGACGCTGTTTCTTAAAAGTGATGTGAGGATATATTTTCTTTTTGAAGGGATGCTGTTTCTTAAAAGTGATGTGAGGATATACCACCTACCTCCAACAGTTTAGCTCATTACAAACTGGTCAGCATGCAGCTGATTTTCACTGCTTGGAATTTCTCTTCCTCCATGTTTGGATAATGGAAATAAAATAAATGCCTTTATACTTTCTGAGGTTGTGTTTCAGATTCTGAGGTCACATTTGTAAAAACAGTTATTGTGGAAGAATTGTGGAAAACCTGTATTGATTTTCAGATATCAAAAGTGAGATTGTACTAAGAATACAGTGTTGCCCAGGTTCACTGTGTTGTTGTCTCTTAACCTCTGTATGCTTTGGTATTCTAATTAATGAAATATGGACAGTTTCATCTACAGATGCCTGCTGTGCTCTAGCAATGTAGAGAGTATTTAATCTCCTTTACTGGGGCACAAAATAGGATACTTCTCAAAATTTCCATTGCTATATCAATAACATTTAAGGGAAAGTCAGTGTAGAGGAAGAAGCTGTAATCATTCCCCCAGAGATCCAGTGCTCAGTGTGAGATAACCTCAGAACCAGATTCCCTCAAGGCATTGAGGAATTTGCTTTGGAATAACTTTTTGATATTAATTGTCCCATTGACTGCAAGAGGAGATGTCATGCTTCAAGATAAGCATCTGCACAGGCGTTTAGCCAGACAGGGGCAATGTTTTAACTGCTTAGCTGGACTCAGCTCTTGGTGAACAACTACTTAAAAGGAACAGGGATGACTTTTTTAGGGGGTCTCAGTGATCAAGAACAGTGAAATTCTTCCTTGCAAAAGACGCATAAAACTATCTTTACGCTTACACTGAGGCAAAAAGCATGAATTTTCTTTTCCTCTCAGGCTCCATCATCAGGAAAAAAAAATGTTTCTTTCTTTCTTGCTCTCAGTCTCTTTTAGTCTTTTAATATAGCCACTTTGTATTTTTTGCCCTGTCCCCTAAAGGACAACCAATTTGCTTGCTTTTGTGACTTGTATTGCAGTGCAAAGACCCATGGGAGCACCCAGGGGCCCAGGGGAGCTGCTCTTATCTTGGCCTTCTTCAGTACGGTGTTAGTCTGACTCTCACCAGTTAAGAGAGACCTGCCTAAAATACCAAAGGGCTTTAAGAGCCTAGAAAGTGCTAAGCTTGCCCTGGAGACCTATTGCAGGGCCACTGTGATGAACTGTAACCTGTGTGAGTCGCTTGGTTGATTTTCTGTGCCTTCCTTGCCCCCCTTTCCCTGCACAGTGTCAAGTCCTGCTTCCAGAACATGGAGATTTGCAAGCGGCGGGTGAATATGTACGACACGGTGAACCAGAGCAAGACACCATTCATCACCCACGTAGCCCCAAGTACATCGACCAACCTGACCATGACTTTTAACAACCAGCTCAACACAGTCCACAACCAGGTGAGGGCATCAATCACAAGCAGCCAGTGCTTGAAACATTTATGTCAGGAGGGCCTAGAAGATGAAAAGCAAAGTAGCATCCCATTTAACATGCCTGCCAAGAGATGGTGCCTTTCTACTCTCCTTCTTCTGCTCTTCTCTTCATTCTCTTTTCTTCAGGCAAGCAGTAATCTTGTGACATTTTGTGTGATGGGGAAATGTTGCCCTTGTTGTTTATGTTGTTGTTGGGGTGATAAATCCTGCTTACTTGGGAGGTTGCTATGGGGAAAAGCTCATTAGTCCCTTAATGCAGCAAGCAGTACTTCACTCCCTGGGTCAGGCAGAAGTATTTGTGATCTTACAGCCCTTCCTCAAATTGGCATTGAAGTAAAATGAATTTAAACCCTCTGTAACAGACACAGCACTGTAACTGATCAACACGAAAGAAGAGTTTAGCAATAATATTTATTCTTACCTCCCATTGCTTTTACTTCAGGGGCCACAGTTGATGTGGGGACCTGTGCATGTGCCCCCACTGTGAACACTCCAGTTTGGTGGGCTTTGGCTTTATAATCGTGATTTGTATTAGTTTTACTTGCCCCAGTGTTGGGGGGTGCTGCGTTAACAAATTTTATGTGACTAGCAGGCTAAGTTGTTTGCTGTGGTACTTATTACAGCAGTGAAAGGAAGCTCTCCAGGGAGAGCACTATAGCTGCTGCTTTGAAGCCTTTTGGGAACAGGCTGCTCAAGATTCACTCTAGAGATTGCAGGTGGCATTGCGGAAATGGGTTTGGAAAGCAAGGGAGCTAAAGGAGTCTGTGTAGATGTGCAGGATGCTCCTGTGTCAGTAAGAAAACCAGACTTCTTGACTTGGGTCTTGATACATGTGATCACAGGAGGTCTTTTGAAGCAATTCAGGCAGGCACAGACAGAGACAGAGACTTTGTGTGAGAGGGTGCTATTACAAACACCAGTTTCCTTTCTAGGCTGTTTCTGAGGTGCTGACTAAAGAAATGCATGCTACATGCTCCCCTAGGCCCCAGCTGCAGGGCAGAGACACTGCTTGTACCACAGTTACTTGTAGGAAAGGCAGACTTTCACTCGCATTTCACTTGACATTAAGATCAGCTGTTGGCTGGGGAGATCCATGGTCATTTCTGAATTCTCATAAGGGGTGTGTGTTCTGAGCAGAGCTAGTATGCCCAATGTTCCTAGAAGAATTGGCAGAAATATTTCCAGGAAGAGTGTTTTAATTTGAACAAGGTCTAAGCCTTTCACAATTCTCCTCAACATACCAGTTGTCTTGGCTTTCTTTTGTTTCCTGTCTGCAAAAGATCTGGGGATTACCTCCTTCCAGTTATGGCTTCTGAGATGACGAGTATGGGAGCTGCTGTGGTTGCTGCTCAGTGTGTTGCACAGGAGAGCAGATTGCACTTCACAGCCCCTGCACTGAGAGGAGATGAGGAGAAGGAGGAAATATTTTGTTGTTACATCCTTCATGGCTGTGGCTGTGGCAGTGCAGTGTAGGTCCAGTAGCAGCCAGTGCAGTGCAGAATGCTCTCTCCTGCACCTTGATCAAAGCCTCCTCCTGGGTTCATACATTCACCATGAGAAAGTGTTGTCTGACCTATCTCCAGCAGTGTTGCTGGCACGTTTGGACAAAGGGGAAGGATGGGCTCTGGTCTGGTAGTGTCTGCCTCCCTAGGCATGCATGCTAAGAACATATATTTGGAGCTGTTTAGTTGACTGCAACTGTTAGACTCAGTCCAAAATAGAAAATTTAAAAAAAAAAGTCTTCAGATTTCTAGATTTTTTCAGAACTCTGGGCTGATTTTCCTGGCTTTGAAACATCCCCAAATGGAGTTTCTGCTCTAAGAGATTTTAAAGACAATTCAAGTGAAGTTTGGACTTTGCAAATATTAGCATTACCTCCTGTTATGACTTCTGATTACTTCAAATTCCAAACATAATTCAAGGGGCATGTGCCATCTTAGATACAAGGTATCTAAGAGGAAAGGCCAGAATAGATTTTCCCTCTCAGGATGAGATTTCACAGGGCATGGAGGTGCCGAGTCTATTTTACCTAAGAAATGTGAGTAGCCTCTAGAGCTATGTACATGATGAGTGAACAGCGTGATTTGTGGATAGCAACATTTTCTGAGCCCATCTTCCTCATGCTGCAAATCAGAGCCAGTTGGGTGAGAAATGGCTGCAGTTCTGCTGTAGGGAATGTGCTGTGTCCCTGGGCAGTACAAGCAGCGCCGTGTGGCCCGAGGTCCCGTGGCATGGCACAGCAGTGGCACACTCGGGCAGATTGTGATCCTTCCCCCAGCACTGCCCTTGTCTCTTTACTCCTCAGTGTCCCGTTCTACCCCTTGTTTGCTGTTTTGATTTGATTTTTATTTTATCTTACACTACTTTACTTTATTATTTTTTTGGATTTTGCTTCTTCCAGCGTACCCATCTCCCTCATTTTTTTGTTTGTTTTTTGTTTTAATTCCCGTCATTCCTTTAGACCACCAACCTGGCTCCCACCTCCTCCAGTGCCACTATTTCCTTAGCCAACCCCGAGGTCTCCATACTAAATTACCAATCTGCACTCTACCAGCCCTCAGCGGCGTCCATGGCTGCGGTGGCCCAGCGGAGCATGCCCCTGCAGACGGGAACAGCGCAGATCTGTGCCCGGCCAGACCCCTTACAGCAAGCCCTCATCGTCTGCCCACCAGGCTTCCAAGGTAAGTGACAGCCTCACCAGGTCTTGGCCTGCTGCTTCGTCCAGCTCTTTTTGGAAATAAGTTTCCTCCGTTCAGGTCATATGGCAGAAAAAAGGGCTGGCCTAGTAAATCAGAGCAGCGGGGTTGTTGCAGGTGGAAGTGTTTGCCTTGGCAGGGCATCTTGCAGGCACCTCTAACATCCTGAGCTGGAGGCAGCTGATTCTGAGAAGGGGCTGGGAGAGAATATGTGGTACTTGTCATTCTTTGCCCTGAACAAAGTTTAAGGCTCTTCTGCCGTACTTTGGTAAACTTGAAAGCTTTCCCACACAATACCAATAAATCAGTACATATGTGTGTAGTGGATCATGGTGTCACTTCTCAGTGACTCCGTTGCTAAAAGGGGAACTTGGGAGGGTAATGCAGCAGGGAGTGTGGTGCTCATGGATATGAGGGTTCTCCCCCATAACAGATGCCATGACCATTTATGAGGACAATTCCCTCAGCTCCAGCCCTGCTGCAAACAGCTCTGCCTGTGTATACTAGTGGTAGGAACTATTGTCAGACAACTTGGGAGATGCTCAGTGTTAACCACTTGTCCTTCTGTTAACATTACATGCTGTAGCAATTTGGGAAAACTTGCCAAGTGTCTGTAGGAAGTGGTCTAAATAGACCTCAGTTCAGCTGGTGCAACTTCTGCTCTTCATTTCTACAAGCCTGTCTGTGCATTAGTCTCCAGGCACTTGTTAAATGTTCTGCAAGATTATCAAAGCTCTTTTGAAATAGAGAAGTTTAGCTAGACCTCTTCAGCGTAGTTAAAATGCATCTCAAGGGTTTGACTTCAGAAGTGGAGTATGTAAGCGACCATCCTCAGCTTGCTGCTTTGAGAAGGCTCCAAAGTAGAGGAGGCAGCACAAGCTATGCCATGCACTGAGGTGCCTCCAGCTCAGTTAGGCTAATGTGGGCCTCAGCCAGCAGTGACTGGAGTTTGGGGTGTGCTAGAGCCTTTCAAATATGAATCCCAAGAAACTGTGCTGGAGAAAATCCTCTGTCCCCGTCAAGGCTGACAGAGTATGGAGTTCTGGATTCCCATCCCAATTTGGTGTAAAGAGAGCATTCTCATATAACAGTGGGTTTTGGCTGATAAAGACCATTTCTTGTTATTAAACCAGAATATATGGGGAAGAGAAGCCATTCACTCTCCTCTTTTCCTTTTCTGCCTGTGCACATTGTATTGCAATATTTCCCATGCGCTTGAGGTACCCTAAAATACAAACTCAACTAACCCCTTATTGCCTTTGGAAATGTCTTTTCTGCACCCTTATACCTATATCATGTTTGTGAGCATTTGATGAACATCTTTGGGCCAGGGTGGAACAGGTGGCACTCTGATAGCTGATTATTATTAAATTATTGCAATTTAAGTGGACATCAGCGAGTGCCTTTAGGCTCCTCTGAGAGCCAGCCCCTGCTCCTGGCCATGCTGCTGATGGCTTATGCTGTCCCTTCTGTGCTGGTGGAACAGGGTTACAAGCCTCCCCTTCGAAGCACGCTGGGTACTCGGTTCGGATGGAGAACGCCGTTCCCATTGTCACTCAGGCTCCTGGGGCCCAGCCTCTTCAGATCCAGCCAGGACTCCTCGCACAGGTAAGGAATTCTAAAGGCACCGAGATCAGCAGGTATTTACTGTGTTGTTTAGCTCTTGGAGGCTGAGGAGAGAAGCTTTCTCTGAGGGGCTTCTGTGGTGCAGTTTGGAGACTTGGGCAGCTCTGTATGGGTTGGCAGCTTTCTCTGAAATGTCAAAATCTCCCCCAGCTCATTGTTCAGCTCAAAGACTATGTCTGAGTTGCAAAAGCCACTGGAAAAACCCTTTTTCTTTCTGCTTTTCTACTGAAATCAGTGGGAAAGCCTCAGGGAAAGCAGTGTCAGGCCTCTGCTGAGAAGGAACCTCTAATAACCTCCTGCATCCTCCTGAACTCGAAATCTTGGGGGTAGTTTGCAGCCAGGAGTTGCACTGGTGAATTGCATGCTGCTGATAAATACATTTCATGCTTTAAGTTTTCACCATTTTGTTTTATGAGGACCTCTGCACGTGAGGTATGAGAGAGATGTAGGAGGCAGAGGCAAGGGCTCCACACTCGAGGAGCTCTCCTTGTCAGCAGTTCTTATTGGCACAATTCTCTGAAATGTTCTCACAGGAAAAACATGGTTCCTCCTAAAAAAAAAAAAAAAAAAAAAAAAAACAGGAATGGGTATTACTGATTACATGCACATCCTCAAGGGGTACCCCAGCTCCTCAAACCAGAGGAGCAGTTCATTCCTCCTTGTGCAGGCTTCAGTGAATGTGCCTCACCTGTTTTTAAGCTGGCACCATGGTACCTCTGCTGATACCAGACAGGGGAAAAAACCACCTAGTGTGCTTAAAACTAAGTTGTGCAAGCTGGAAAAGATGACCAGCTAGTTACAAAGGCTTGTTTGATCTGCTGTGCCAGCATGTTCATATGCAATCAGGAACCAGCAGACTTCAGGGTTTACTCGTGTGTGTTGCACTGCTGGGGTAAGACTGTTGGTGCTCTTGCCTTCCTTTGCCAGCTGCCAGTCACACTTATCTGGTGAAGACAGAAAAATGCAACTTGCAGCCTGTGTGATTTCCATCAGCTAGCATGCCCTGCCCCTTCCCAATAGCAGAGCCTTTGTCAGCGAGCTGTCTGAAACATCAAACCAATCTCTGCTGCAGCCTGTTGTAACAACTGACATGGGCCACCTCCCTTGTTTGGTGGGGAGGAAGAGCCTAAGAGGCAGGGAAACAAAAGCCATGGCAAAGCATGGAGCAGTCTGTACAGGCTCAGTAGCTGGCACCTCTTGCTTGTCCAAGAAGTCAGCCAAGGCAGTGAGTGAAGGAGGTCACAGAGCTAGCTTTACATGCCCCCACCATTCTGCCAGGTCTCCTGTGGTGTGCTGTCCTTTGGGACTTGAAGGGGTGAGGGCTGGATCTCAAACATCTAAAGACAGCAGGATCATGAAAGATCTCAGTACCTCCTTCTTTCTTCTCGTGGTGGCTTTGCTGGGCTCTATGCAAGTGAGGAATGTTTGGTAGTAAAGCTCCCCCTGAGCACCCTCCTGCCCACAGGTTACCAATTTCTGTGCTGCCCCTGCCATGTGAACACCTGTTTCATGGGCATCCCATTTCATGCTTTCTACTGACATTTCATTCATTGTCACTTCCAAAGGGGAATTCTGGCTGTTTCTGAGAAACACTCCTCACTTGCACAGACTTTTAATTTTTGATGTAATAAAAGGGAGGACATGTGCCTGTTGCTGTGCCCGTTTGTCTCGCGCGATGAGAAATGTGAGCTGTCTCTGATGGCAGGGTGCTCTGATTGATGCTGGTGGCATCTGGTGTCCGTGGGCCTCGCTCGGTTCGGGCTGAGCAGCTGGTCTGATAAACAAATCTGTACCCAATTCCAGTTTCCTGAATGGAAAAACACAGCTTCTTTGTGATGCATTGTAGTCACATCTGATCTTGGCGGCTGCGTGTCTCTCTCCCAGCAGAGAGCTGTTCCTCTCATGCACAGCTGCTTATCTAATGCTCTTCAGCCTGGGCCATGCAACTGCTGTGACTGCGAGAGGGACTGGCCCCAGCAGAGAGTGCAGCGCCTCCAGAGCCCACTTCTGTCTGTCCCCTGCTTTATTTGTCCCACTGATGAGGCATGGTGCTGCTCTTTGTGCTCCCAGAACTGTGGAGTGCTGTCAGGCTTTCTCCCCTTGTACCTAGCGCATGGCACAGGTTTCTGTGTTTGCACTCCTCAGAGTGCCTGTGGCTGGTAAAGCCTTACTGTGTCCCAGGGCAGCTGGCATCCAGTTCTCCCTGTGCGTTTTGTACAAGACCAGATGTCCCAGATGAGGGACAGAGGGATCCAGGGCAGGAGGCACTGACAGAGCTTGAGCATCGTGTCTGGCAGCTGTGTGTCTGCAGCCTGTGGCATGGAGCTAGGCAGCGCAAGGCAGAGCAAGCAGCCTGCAAGATGCAGGGTCAGTGGCTAAAGTAATTTGTTTGTAACTTCTCTGGGTCTCTTTTCATCCTCTCAAGCAAGTGTGGTCCACATATTGTATGCACAGAGACCAGTGAAAGGAGACTGATCCTGTCTTTACTCACAGCTCACTGTGGCTTCAGATGTCAGATGAGGCAAAGCTGTACAGTTTTCCAGCAGGCTTCCAAGTTGTGACCCAGAACTCTCCCCTGCCCTTGAACAACACCCTGGATTCTTGATTTTCTCTCCTTTTAACTCTTTCCCAACAACACTTCCTACAGGGGTCCTGCCACTGGCTTTCAAAATGTTATTCCATTAGTTGTTCCTGCTCTATGTCCAGAGTACAATCTTGGTCCCTCCAGGGGACCCACCAGCTCCTGAGGACAAGGGCCAGAGCATTGCTTCACCACCCCACCAAAATTTCATAGTAATGCACTGACTGGGAACAGGCTGCAGCTGCCAGGACAAGCCTTCTATGTGTAAGCACAGCACACAGTGCTGGTGGATCAGCCTGGACAAGTCTTATCTGCAGATTAAATGATTCAGTGGTCCTTACCTAATAACTGAGGAATTTGTGCCTAGGCCCTGACACTGCATCTAAATTTATGCACTGCAGTCGGACAAGGAGCTTAGATTTGTTCCATTCCCTTCCTGAAAAGGGAGGAAGAAGTTTTGTCTTCAAGTAAATCCAGGTAGTCCCCTGGGATTGACTTCAACAGTAGTTCAGTCTCCTCTTTGAAAGCAAAGCTGAGGTAAAAAAAGAAAAGAGAATAATAAGAAGGCTTTTTTCCTTCGTGATCTTTTTGTGCCTTTGCCTCATCCTTTTACCTGCTCCAAGCATCACCAGTCCATGGTTGTGGCTCCCTAGATGAAGGGCTCTCGGGATCCTTGCGACTCTCCATCCTTTGCAGATGTAGCTGAGAGGCCTCACTATAGCAGCCTTTTCATGTAACTCAGCAACACAAAAGTTATAAGATGATCAAACTTAGGACTAGAATTGGGAAAAAATGGGGTTTTTTGCAGGGTGGATTGTTTTGGGGCTTGTGTTACTGGGGGATAGGAGGGAATCATGGGAACAATTAACACAATCCTTGTGAGGGTGGGGAAGGGGATAAATGCATGCCTGGAAGAAGCCTGCCCTCAAATTTAGCCTCCTTAGAACAGTGAGATAGCACAACACAGGTCCAGTACAGTAGTGCAGGTTGGGACTAAGGTGGGCTGTAGTTGGTACCCCTGAGTTCCTTAGCCCAGCAGCAAAAAACTGCCAGAACCACATTTGGGCAGCACATGGCTGAGAAAGTTTCCCATGTCCAAAAAGCAATCATCTGACTTGCATAGAGTCAGTAGAGCAGGACAACCTGAGTCATGCCTGTGGCAGCACAGCTGGAGTGGTGATTGCATAGCAGAATGATGGCTCAACTCAAAGGGCAGAGATTTTCCACCCTCTAAGAGGGGGGAAAATGTTGGCGAGCACATGGAGGGGACAGGTATGCAATGGGTAACTGTGCATTACTTGAGAAAGTAAGCTGGCTGTAGAAAGGGGAAATTAATAACGGAGCCATAGTGTCCAGCTGATGGGAGAGTCAAAATTAGAAGGTGCTAAAAAATTTGATGTTTGGTTTGAAATGCCAACAAGTTTTGATCCCTTCCATTCCCTGTTTAACCTAAAACACAGCTGCTGCTTTGTATGGCAAGAATTTTTTTTTCTCCCTCCTTTGAATTCTCTATATTTATAACTATTCCTGCTTATACTGTGGTTTCCTAACAGTGTTTGTCTTCTGTGACTGAAAGGCGGTAAGAGCTGCGTAGTCTGACCATGATCACTATTAGAGGCCCCAGCTGAGTGTGGACCATCGCTCATGTTCAGTGCTCGATGCCTTTTGCTAAGGAATTGCTTTTCCTCTGTCTGGCAGCAAGCATGGCCCAGTGGCACTCAGCAGATCCTGCTCCCTCCTGCCTGGCAGCAGCTGACCGGGGTGGCCACCCACACTTCTGTCCAGCACGCGACCGTCATCCCGGAGTCCATGGCAGGCACCCAACCGCTGGCAGACTGGAGGTAAACTGGGGATGCTTGGAGGAGCCTTGAAGTACCCACAGGTGCTGGAGGAGCCATGAGGGCTGGGGTCTTGCTAGACTACAGGGCTGAGGGGAGAAGGGCAGCAGCCTCTGATACCACTCTCTGACAGCTGTGGGAGACTTCTCTGCTCCATGCCCTTGGAGTGGAATGCTGTGCCCACACCACTCCTTCAGTCTGTTTTCTAGGGAAAACACTCCATCCTGGGAAGGCTGGGAACCCAGCAGGCTCTGGAGGAGAGGGCACCTCAGCGAAGGGTGGTGGGAGGCTGTGTGGAGGAGCCTGCTGAGCAGCCGCCGGTTGCATTCTCAACGTGTGCCTGTGTCCCCGCTGTGCAGGAACACGCACGCCCACGGCAGCCACTACAACCCCATCATGCAGCAGCCCACGCTGCTGGCCAGCCACGTGGCCCTGCCCGCCGCCCAGCCCGTCAACGTGGGCGTCGCTCACGTCATGCGCCAGCCACCTGCCGCTGCCTCCGCCAGGAAGAGCAAGCAGCACCAGTCGGCTCCACGGTGAGTGCCGCGGCTCCCAGCCTGCCTGCTTCCCCGCCACGCCGGCGTGCTGGCAAGAGGGGTGCTCGCTGATACCTGTGGGGCAAAACAGGTTTAGTTCCACAGCCCGTGAGGGATTGGATCACGCATTTCGTGATGGAGCTCTTCGCTGCCTCACCTCTTCGGTACCCAGGAGGTAGTCAGGGGTGTTTTATACCCAGAGAGCATCATTTTGTGTGGGAGTTAGTGGCTGGAGAAGATACAGAATGGGAGGCTCAGGCCCTGTTCATACAGCTTGTTACGATGCTGCAATTACCCAGAGCCTTGTCACAATGATTTAAAAACATAACCATGTTCTCAGGTCAGTGTGATGCAGTGCCCAGTTGCCACACCTTTTCTTCCCACATCCTCTGGAAGAAGCACTCCTGAGGTGCAGCATATGCACCTTGAGGAGCCTGCATCTTCAGCAGTGTGTGCCTGATGTGCACACACAAGATCTGCCCTTTCAAAAGCAGTGGGGTGATGACAATCTTCTGAGCTTTACTGCCACGGGGAGTGCAGGACTGGGGTGGCTTTGGGCCACCTGAGCTCTCTAGCTCCTAACATAGGTGGTTAGCCCCTGTCTTCACCAGTCCACACCAGCAACAGATACCCATGATTATACCCTGGCCTTATTACAACTATGGCAGCATAAAACAGGGATCATTTTATAAGGAGATCTCATACAGGGCGGTCCTTAGCATCTGTCATCTCTCAGTAGGACCATTTGGTTCTGGAAGGAGGAATCTGGGGTTTCTTGCACAGCTCAGATGGTAGGATGGTTGCAGTGCCTGTCACAGCACTGTAATCCTGTTCAGAGGAAAAGGCTCTTCAAGATGTATGTGCAGCTGCTCTGGAGAAGGTCCTTTGGGCTGTGCAACTAACACACTTCTTTTTTAAAAGAAAAAAAACACAAAAAGCAGAGGGGCGAGAACCAAAATTGGTAACCTCTTGTGCAGTGGCAAAAACTTGAGCTTGTGGTTTTCCTGGGTGACTGGACTGGTGCCAGAGTGGCTCTGAGTTCGCAACCAGTTCAACTCAAGTTAAGAGGCCACTATTTAAATCCTTCCCATTTATCTGCTCTCTAATGTTGGATTTACTTTGGGTGGGCTCCAGCTGTCTTAGTCTATTCATAACATAGAGAGGCAGCTCTGTCCCCAGCTAGCCAGCAAAAGAGAGTGCCTGTTACAGCCAGTGTGCCTGTGCAGGGCCTCCCCTCTCCTGTCACTTTAGGGTGGGGTGGCTGTGTCCAGGAGGAATGGGGCACTCTCAGAGCAAGGGTTTCTACAGCTTCATTGACTGTGACTCTTTTTGTGCCAAACGAGGAGCCGTGCTCCTTTGGAGAGGAGGGTACTCCATGCTGCTCATTGGTATTCAAAAAGCACTTTGAATGCTACTGTGCAGCCATTTGTTATGCAAAAGAGCCTGTGTAAGTTGGTGTAGTGTGATATACTGCCAGGGTGACTTCCTTTTGATGGATGCCACCTATTCCTTTTGTTAGCTTTTGGGCCAGGCTGAACATGCAGCCCAGGCCCCTCAGTAGAACAAAACCAGAACTTTGGGGTTTTCTTCCTTTTTGAATCTCCAGATGTTCAATAGCAAAAAGAAACACGACCAAGAAAGGAAGTGTGGGAAATGAGTGAAATGGGCTTTAGTCAGTGTGCTTTGGTAAATAACCCCATCTTTAGACCCACACTGCACTGTTTGGCTCATAGTTTTGTGTTTGGATCCCTGATCCAAGTGTCACTTTTCTGACTGGTCAGGCAGGGAAGCTGAAGTAGGAAGACTGGGAATGTTTCTCTACTGTGTAATAAATATATTATTTCTTTCTGATTTATATATGCTGTATGCTGCTTCACACAGGAATGAAACTGAGTATATGTCCTCTCATCTACCTGCTCTCATCTATGGGACACCACTGTCCTAGAGGATAAAGTGTTGAGCAGGAAATGTTCATTGAAAAAGATTCTTAAATAGCAATTCATTTCTGTTTAAAAAAGCAGTTTTCTTGATAAGTGTTTGTAGTTTTCCACACAAAAATTTTACCTCTAGTTTTTTCTGGCCAAAAAGTATCTGGTCGTGATGCATCCATGCAGGATGCAGGAGGAAGGGATTATCATTTGGGTGGTTCTTCCTCCTGTGTCAGCCATGCTGTGCCTGCCTTTGTTCTGTATGTCTGGGCTTTGTGGCTGGCCTTTACCCTCCCAGTGCAAACTCCTGAGAGGCAGCAGTTCATATCTGGAAATTTCCAGGGAAAACAAATTTGAATTTTTTATTAAAAGAAGCTACTTTTCAGCCAGTTATTATGAATAAGTGATGCAAGACACTGTCTTCTTTGAAGAAGTGACTGTGCCAGTTTTGCAGTTTTCCTAGACTCCATAAATCAGTGCTACTGAATCAGAGACCAGGACTCACAAACCATGGCAACGGGCACCTTAACCATGCAGAGTTTTAACCAACTGACACTTTTCCCCGCTTCCAGCAACGCATCCACCTATGAAGTTTCATCCTCCCAGTCCATCAGCTCGCCCCAGCGGTCAAAACGAGTGAAGGAGAACACCCCTCCCCGCTGTGCCATGGTGCACACCAGCCCTGCCTGCAGCACCTCGGTGACGTGCGGCTGGGGTGACGCGGCCAGCAGCAGCACGCGGGAGCGGCAGCGGCAGACGATCGTCATCCCCGACACCCCCAGCCCCGCCGTCAGCGTCATCACCATCAGCAGCGACACAGACGAAGAGGAAGAGCAGAAGCATGCACCCACCAGGTGAGCAGTGGTTCTCTGCTCTTCTCTGTGTGCAGGGGAAGGAGAGAGGGGCATAGAGGTGGTTCCAGGGGCTACGTTTGCGTCTCTTCAGCCAGGTTGTCTTTGATTTGTGAGGAAAATGACTAGCTGAGGACTCTACAGATTCAGATGATGCTCCCTTCTGTGCTGTACATCTGCTGTGTTACCTTGGGGAAGTGCAGCAGTCTCTCCTTACCATGATCTCTCATCTGTAAGAGGAAAGACCACTTTTCTCTATCTCCTTTTTGTGGAAAGAAGATGTAGAAGGTAGCCTGTGGTGAGGAGCCTCTGTAAGTTAGACGTGTATTTAAAACAAGGACAGAAAGACGGGCTTGGAAGGAAGGGCCCATTAAATGACATCTTTCATATGTTTCTTCCATGTTTTCTTTCAAAAGCTCTCAAAAACAGTGGTTCTGTCATAAATACTCAATAATCATAAATATATTGCAAGGGAGTTGCTCAATCTTTATTGTGTTGCCAAAATATCCTTGAACTATAGTAAAAGTGGCAGAAACTGCTTTCTGTCTGACTCTGCAGGGAGGCATAGATGAGGCTAGAAAGTGGGGGCTGAGTTTGCTCCTCAGAGAATTAACTCATCCAAGTGAACAGCACGGCCCAGGACTGCTGCCATTGTTGATCATCCCTTGTGGATCAGAAAGAACTTAATTTTCTAGGACTGTCCTTTCAGCACCTTTCATCACATGCGAGTGCTCTAGGTTTCCCATCTGATGCCAGTCACAAGACGTCGCTCTGCTTTGTAAGATGTAGAGAAGTAGCTTTGCAAACAGCTGAATAATTATACCATCTCTATATTGGTAACTGAGATAGGAAACTTTTAACCTTATCCTTCCAGTGTTGTTGAGAGAGGGTTATTTTTTTACTTATTTAAAACACACTCCATGGCAGATTTTCCTTTAATTACCAGGGATACCCCTCTGTATCTCTGCGTCTTTGCAGTGTGGTGATAAGTGAAGCCTGCAAATGTGCACAGAGCAGATGTGACACATTTGGCCTCTAGGAGCTAAAAATCTGTAAAGAAAAGCCATATGATTCAGGCTGGAATCTCAACATGCTTCCCAATAGCTACCACTACTTCCCATTCCTCTCTCTGTGCTAGTGAATGCCACTGGGCAGCAAGGGCTCAGTACCTCTCAAAGTCAGCCTTGCCATGAATGCAGTGGTTCACAGGACAGTGTAACATATTTCACTTTAAAAATAAAAAATTTTTTAAAAATTAAAAATTGCTGCAACATTCCTTGCTTAGATGGGGGAAGAAAGCATGTTTCCAAAAAGAGTTGCATGAAGACCAGTGTGAAAGTCAAGGGGACTATAAATAAGGAGCCCCTACTTCCAGGGCTCTTCTGGGAAAGGAAGGGCAAGGCAAAAGAGATGCTGAAAACTCAAGGGTCATGGGAGCTCTTTTAAAGCATGTTTACCCGTAGTGCTGATTCCAGACTTTGAGACATTATGTGCAAATCCTTAAACTTACCATCTGGATGTCATTCTTTGGTCCAGATTGGTCCAGAGGGGGGGTGAAGAAAAGAGCTGGGATACTGCAGCCACTTCAGCCAATGGTTGTCTTCTCTGCTTCAACTTTGCTGCCATCTGACTAGTTCCTTTAGTCAGCACCTCTCTAGAAAGAGACAGAACAAAGTTCAGGAACATGTATGGAAATTTGAGTTGGAAATTTGAGGTATTAAAAGATTTGAGTCTGCTGAAGGGCTTGGGAAGTTGTTCTGGGAGCCAGACATACATAAACAAACTGGCTTTGATATGACTAAAGCATATTCCGGACACATTCCTGCCTGGGATCAGATCCCTGGCTACTTTTTGTATCCATATAGCATATATGTAGAGTGCCAGGGTGCCAGCATTCCAGAAAGAAATTTAGAAATTAAAAAATTAAATAGAAATTAAGAAATTAAAATAGATTTAATTTGTGAGCCATATAGAGAGATTTTGCATGGACATGAGTGAGTTAAATTTTCTGCGCAGATGTAACCAGAGCAAATGGAAAATCAGAGGTAGAGACACAGGTGGAAAACAGCCTGGCCAGAATGAGAATTTTTTCGTTAAAGTCTCCAGGAGAGCAAAATCAATTTGCTTGGTAACTTTTGACATGGGTAGATGTAAGACCAGGTTCTCAGCTGGAGTGAGAGTGTAACTTCCAGTCAAGGAGGCTGTATCAGCATTTAATGCCAATGAACTTTGTCCCTGCTGAAGTTGAAGTCTTTCTCATTGAAAGTTTGTCTCATTCAGGAAAATGCCTCTTAAGTTTTCTTGCCTATTTTTTTGGCTCCAAGAAAAATGGGAGTGACAGTGAAGTATGTGCTTAATGTAATCAGGGCCCAAAGGTTCAGGATCTGAGTAGAAAATGAAACCATGCAAAGAATGCATTGTCTGGCTCATATATGCAAATATTACCATATTGGGTAATAGCTGTGGTGTGGGGGTGAAAATTTCAAGGAATCCCTTGAAACGTGCTATTTTTCACATCCTAGAAACATTAGCTTTTTCTAGGTTAGAATGTAGAAATCAAATGCCATTTGACAGATCAAAGGTAGTTGCCTGATCACATCTTATTGATAGCAGTGGTAACTTTGCATTACATTCCCTGTCAATGAATCAGCTCCTCAATTTGCTACAGCACCTCTTTCTTTTACTTCTTCTGGGGCTAGAAATTGCCCTTTGACCCATGAGACTAAAAACGTTTATTTTATTGATTCCTTAGTGTAGAGAGATTGTTTGTGAGAAGTAACAGATCCTTTGACAATTTAAGAGTTTGTCAGCCTCAGTTTAAAAAAGTACTGGTAATGTTGCTAAAATATGATACTGCTGATGCAGTAAAGGAGCTCTACAGCTTGGATTTACTCAGACAGAAAAGCCTTTCTGTAATACCACAGAAGCAGAGAGAGCTTTTCTCATACAGGGAATGCACATTTTTTATTGGTGAAAGAAAAATCTGAAAAATGGTGATGTGGGTAGGATTTTCCTTTTCCTGCTGAAGGGTAGGAAGTATTATGTGTTTATGAAATAGCAGCTGATCAGGAAGGCAGGACAGCACGTTTTTTATTTTGCACTGTTGGTGAGTGTAGCTTAGTGTAATCTTTATAAAATCGATAGTCATCTCAAAATGTTGGGCTCCTGTTGGGTAGAGGTGCAGGGGAGGAGGCGTGAGATGAGCTCTGGAGGACCTGCTCAGTGGAGCCTTGTCCAAGGGGGCCATCTACTGGGCCCCAGCCCTGTGCCTAAGGCACAGTCACCGAGGAGGAACCTCAGCTGCAGTTCAGCAGGGCCCATCCTCACAGAGATGGCCAGAGATTTTCAGGGGGCAAATTCCTGATTAGAAAAGTCATTTCATCAAAAACAAGGCATTCTTGCTGGCTACATTGAGTTTTTTTTCAACGAAGTGAAATCTGGAAGAACTTCAAAACTACAAAAAGTTTTGACCTTTGTTTAACGGAAGAAAGTGCCCGGAAATTAACTAATTAAGTAGCAGACTTCTCCTTTCTGGTTTAATGAAGGGGTTTTTTCCTTCAAAATGTAAGGAAATAATAGGAAAATTAAATTGAAATGGTCAAAATAAAAAGGGAGCAGTTTTACCACATGGAACTGTTTTTACCTGGTTTCTTCTGCTCACAAAGTTTTGCATGTGATATTTTGTCCTATAGAACAGCAGGGGAATAATAGCTTACAAAGAGCATTATAATAACAGGAAACAGTTTTGTCACCCTGTTTATTTAATAAGATGGTACACTTAGCTCAGAATACTTTACAGAGAGATTTCATAGGGCAAAGAGACTTCCAGTGCTGTGATGTAAGATAATAACTTCAAATGTTATTTATTCTGAATGGAAGATATTAGGTCTAACCATTACTTGTAAAGCACTGTGAAGAGAGTGAGACAGGAAGCAGGTTGATATTTGTTTTTAAAATTTACTCCTTTTTAGTTTCTCTACTTGCTCTTGCAAGAAAGTCTAGTGGACAGGGCAGCTGACTGATAGTGCAAGTGCAGTCGCAGTTGTCGGAGCTCACACTCAGCAAGTTGCACATAGTAGGGGTTAACTGCTCCCCAGCATGCAGCTTCACCTGCTGCACTGGTTTAAATGTAAATCCTCCCTTGATTAAATATTTCTAAAGCTTAGAAGTAGAGAGAAGGCGGGAGATGAGACATGGAACAGAGAGGCACAAAGGCACTTTGGAACTGTGGCAGGGAGGGAGAGCACACAAGGTCCTGGGGAGGGATGCACTGGGCTGCACTGGTGGTCCAATGAGGGATATTTCTGCATCCATGCATTGCAGAGCATGGCAGGAGGAAGGGGTGGAAAGAAGGGGAGTGTACATGGCTGTTGTGACATGCCCAGCTGACCTCCCTTCCAAGCAATTAGTGCAGGAGCCAAGGAAAACATGACTCTCCTTGAAACAATACAATGATGGCCTTCAGATGGGTGGTTTTGGGGATGCTTCCAAAGAGGCAGGAGAGCCCCTCAGTCCCCCACTGCCTGTGCTGGTGTCATAGGTAACATCACTCCAGCTTGGTTTTTAATGGGATCCTGACAGTAATCACTGTATTTCTGCACAAGGCAGACTGAGTGCTGCTGTTGTGTTGGCGTACTGAGGAACTGCCTCATTGACCATCTTCACTGGCACAAAATCCTTGTGGGCTTATGGGGTATTCCCCTCCCTCTTAAGATGGGAAGCTCTGTAGTTTCTGTGTGAGTCTCACCTCTGTAACAGAGCGTAAGCAAGTTTTTATTCACCTTGTTCATGTCATAGTGCAGTGGTGGTGGAGCCCAGTTCAGAAGACTTACACACAGAAATTGCTGGTAGGCACAAACCAGGTGTTTTTGTCAACTTGCTGATTCGCATGTGTGAGGGGCAAAACATCATTTTAAATTCTTTTTTGACGTCTAGCCTATTGTGGCTGTGTTCTGCTGTGCATAGTAATGCACTGACTCTGCATAGCAATACACTGACTAACCACAGTCATTTAGTTAAAAGATTGCTGCCTTCCATCTCCAGAAGACACTGACATACAGCTAATACTTAAAATTACAGAAATAGACAGTAGCTCTGTCAGCAGACCTTCAGCAGCAGGACCTTTACAACCTGCTCAGCAATTCAGTTTATATGACTTAAATAGCAACAACACATGCTGTATAGCCTAATAAAATGGCCTCAGTGTAGTACTTGATAAATATTTCTTACCATCACAAATTCACAAAGAAGGTGAGAGCAGATTAACAGGTCAGGATGGAGGTTGAGCTGAAGAGAGGGTGCATGTTCCCAACACTGAGCTATGCATGGCATAAGATTTCAACATGAGGAGACTGATTGCAGTTGTGGTGTGAGTTTTTGTTGGCTGACTCCATGCTTTCCTAGAATAGGTACATTATTCTGAAGCAGCAAACTAGAAGGGTTGCATGTCATTAAGTTTTCAGAGACCTAGAACAGAGATTTTGTGATGTGAGGTAAAGCTAACGTTCAAAGGTACAGTTGTGCTATGGCTGGTGACCTTGAGAGCTAAAAGACTCTGTTGCTACAGTGTCAGCAGCACTGAAAGGTTTGTAGCTCTTGGAGTGAACCACGTGCTAAGGAATTGCTCCCACTAGACACCATTTGGTTTTTCTGTGATTCTGCTATAACTCAAGGTATTTAGGGGAAAAAAAGATCCTGTTCCTATGATGCTGCTGCATACCAAGCTTTTGGGCTGGGCCTTCAGCAAGTAAAAATCATCTCAGGAGTTGTTGTCTCTCTTTGGCTGTTTGAGGTGGATTCAGCATTTTTTTAGCACCTAATTCAGCATCTTCCTTTCCTTAATTTCTGCTCACTTCTTGTTCTCAACATCTGTCTTCAGCACCTTTCCACTAACAGTATCTCAGGTGACCACCTTAGTTTCTTGAAAAGTGCCTGTGCATGGACTGTCTTCCTTCCTTTTCCTCTATCAGACTTCTCATTGCTAGAGAGAATCGGGATCCTCATTCATCTCTGCTGGGCAATCCTGAGGGTGGTATATGTTAGAGAGCCATCTCCAAGACCTGCTTCTGCTTAAAAGGCATGGTTGTGCTCTGTGTCTGCACGTTGGACAGACATGAACTGGTTTGGGTCCAAGTTTGAGAACAAGCTCTTTAGGACCAGGTGGGAATGGGATACTACTCACAAACTAATAATAAACATACAAAGCAATGCTTATTTTATCTGTGTGCCCCCAAAAAGGAGGGACACAAACCCTGGCAGTAAGGGTTAAAAACCCTACGTGGCTCAGTGCTTTTCATTCTGTGTGGATGGATTTGCTGCCACTTCACCAGTCTTCCCCCCTCCCTCCTCTGGAGAATTGAAATACACCTTTCCACACAATGCAGCAGGCACATGAGCTGCCCAGGACCACAGACCAACTCTCCAAACCACTAAATCATATTTGCTGCTGCTTCTGTGCATGCAGGAGGGAAAGCAATTACCAGGCTTGGAGAGAGCTTAATAGGAAGGGGGCAAGACTTTCAATAGTATTTTTCTGTGTAAGCACAAACATCCCCAAAAGCTGTGGCTGAGTTATAGGAATACAGTAAGCTTATTGAGTAGGCAAGTGCTGTGTCAACAGGTAAAAGCTCTCAGTCCTGATAGTTTGTGAGCAGGGAAGGCGATCCATCAGCCTGGGCCTCACACAGATAACTCCTGGGTTACTGCAAGGTGGGAGGAGCAGCTGAGCAGGAGCTGGAAGGGGGAAAGCTGCTGGCTACCAAGAAGACTTTGAGCAGGGGGAATGCTAACTGCTGGCCTGAATTTTCAAAACCCTCCATTTTGGATTAAAGTGTATTTTTAAGCCTGTGAATCAAGCGATTTTCAGCATGAGTTGGGCCTTTGATGTTTTTGAAATTCCCACCCTTAATCTCTGAGGCAGGCTGTGGTACAGCAGGTGCTGAGCTCTGGGCATGTGTGATTAGCCCAGACTGAGGACTTCTCTGCCTGCTGTAACATTCACCACAGTTGTTACCTTTCCTAGAGACAGAAATCCAGCTGCTTTCAGTGGGACTCCTCGTGTGTTTGAAATGATGCAGCCTGCTGAATTGAGAGGCTGATCACTTGGGCCCTAATCCTGCAAATATTTACCCATGGGCTTTAGCTCTGTTACAGGAATAGTCCAGTTGACTTTGGGAAATGACACATATTAGCAGTGCTGAGCACTTGCATAAGGCCTGGCAGGACCATAGCTCTGATCCTTTTCAGATTCCCATCCATTAAATGAGTTCATATGGTCCCTTTCTCTGGAAAGGTTTGGGTTTGGAGTCACTGACTTATTTAATCAAACAGCTATACTTGAATTTTTTATTGTAACCAAGGAGCTTTAACACTTTGAAGGAGAAAGATCCCATGGTCCCTGCTTTGACAAGCCCTCAATCAAACTGGTGAAAAATATGCCCATACTAAAACAATAAATAGCACAGATTACACAGAAAATTACCCTTCCAGTTCTATGGCTCAACCTTCTCATGTCAATTGTCAGCTGAGAGCAAGCATTTCCAGTTCAGCAGCTCAGCCACTTAGATCAGGAAGGGACTGTAAAAGAACAGTTAGACCTTATCAGTTGTCAGAAAACTCTTTAGTGACTTGATTTTTCTTTATAAAATGTAATAACTGTCAGAGATAAAGAATATATCTCTCTTCCCAACTGGCAGCCAAGGGTAGCTGCAAAGGGCAAGCAGCGTGGATACTCATAAATGTGTGATTACAGACCTTTCTGTTGATGGAGAGAGGAATATTGATGCAATATTAGTCATTTTTATTGGCTTAATATTCTTCTTTCATAGCAGCATATCCAAACTGCTACATCTTTCTTCACACACAGTCATTGTCCATCTAAGATGCACTGCTGCTCTTTCCATTTCTAATCCAGCGCTCTCCAGCTCCTTGTGAAAAGCCAGAATAAAAAAGCCAGCAAAGCCAGAGGGTTTGCTGTTGTACATTTTCCTTGTCAATCCATCCCTGCCCCTGGAAGGATTTCTTTTCCAACTGCTGTACAGTAGCTCCCTCTCCTTCTCTGTCGTCTGCCCTGTTTCAAGTTGCAATCTTTTAGGATGGCAGGGGCCTCTCAAAACATGTTTTTCACTATGAGTAGAACAACGTGGTCTTTTGTCCTCCTCGGGGCACACCAGGACCCTGTGATGATAGCCCAGGGAACATCTGTGTGATGAGAACTTGTTTGAGAATGCAGCAACCCAAGGTGTTCTTTAAAGGGAAAAGAAAATAGATTTTCAACCCTGAGACTTGGGATACAGGGAAGGGGGAGTTGCAAGCTGTGAATGCTGACAGAGAGACTTTGGGGATGGGCAAGTTGAAGGGAACCCACCAGTGCTCCTTTAGGACTGTGAAAAATAAACAAGGCAAACAATGTCCTTGGAAGGAAACTGTTCTCGGTGTCTGCTCCACCTTCTTTTGGGAAGGAAGAAATGCTGAGACCAGGGAACAAACAGCTCCATCACAGACCAAGACCAGATTAATCAGCTGTTCCCTGGCCTGGACTAGCCAGACTGGGAAAATGGAGAGGACGCTCCATGGGAAAGAGATCTCTCTCTGTTTAAAGTGCACACTCATGAAGTTAAGATTCCTTTTTCTCCATGGCATTTCTGTTCCTGTTGGGGCTGTTTCCACCATTAAGCCTAATTACTTAGCTTTTTATGTGCTATCCATTTCTTTTCATCATTTTAAAAACTTCAGTTGCCATAACAACATAATGCAATCAGTGAAACATAACAGCTATTTTCTGTAGTCAAGGTCTGTGCACTGTCAAGGATGTGAGCCATTTAAGCAAATCTTCACCATCCCCCTTCCTCCCTCCTCTTTCTCACTCTCTCTTTTTCTCCCTAAACAAGCTCATAACAGGAAGGAGAAACCATGAGGAATAATTAGACACAATAGCCTGAGCAAATCCCAATCGTACTCATGCAGTCTAGTCTAATGAACTTCCAGCACTAATCTTGGAAGTGTTGATGTGCCTTTTTAATCACTTTTTTGATGTCATAGATAGATTAGTTGCAGCAGGACCTTGATAATCCACACTAGAGTCAGGAGACCCAGAACCTGTTCAGAGAAATGGAAGAAAATCAAAAGCTTTGCATACTTTGTTCATTTCTTTCTCATTTTCAAATGCTTATTGAGAATATGTGTCTATTGTACTATCTTAGTAAATAGAATGGTGTGTGTTTTGTAGACTCATGGAATTTAAGCATGAAAAGTCATAGCATCTATTATTAAATCATTGCTGAAAGGCTGGGAGAAACCGCCACGTTTTTGTGTGGGTGGTGAGACTTGCAACAAAGCATAGTATAACTGCTGGGCTTCTACTGCACACATACATAAAAAGCAGTCTGAAAATAAATCTGGCAGTCTGGTTCAGTGCTATTCTAAGCAGTGTGAATATAAGATCTATCCACAACATCTTACTCACTCCTTGACCTCCATGAAGGCTTTCCTGGAATAGTAACGAGGGAGTTTTGAAGCCCGGGATTTGGCTAAAGCAGCCTCTCTCCAGCAGAGGACTCAAGGCTGTGCTTTGTCCTTACAGAGCTCGTCTGCCATGGGCAGAGCCTTCTAGTGGTGTTGAGTCGATCATTGCCAGTTCACTCTTTCCACTTGTCTGCTTGTGTTGCAGCACCTTGTCCAAGCAAAGGAAGAATGTCATCAGCTGTGTCACTGTGCATGACTCCCCCTACTCCGATTCCTCCAGCAACAACAGCCCTTACGCCGTGCAGCATCGCACAGGGCAGAATAATGGGAACAGCTACGACACCAAAGGGGTTCCAGAGACTCACTGCAGTGGGAACCCCCGAACGATCATCGTGCCACCACTGAAAACCCAGGCCAGTGAGGTGTTGGTAGAGTGCGATAGCCTGGCACCAGGTAAATTGCACCTCTTCCGTCAAGAAAATTAGTAAGAAATAAATGATTTATCTTGGAAGAATCTCATTGTTCAGTTTCATTTTGTTTGTTTGGTTGGTTTGTTTTCCAAAGAAACTGTGCTCCTGCACTTCTCTCAAGTGACACATCTGTTCTTGGTAGCCATATTGCATTATTTATGTGCCCTGGTTCACTCAGGAGTCGTGGGTCAAGTGTTGGTCCCAGTTAGTTCTGTACGAATCCAAGAACAGAATGCAGCCTTTAGCTCAACCTTTGACATGAAAGGCACCCAAATGCAAGTGTGAACCTTTGCTGCCTTGCCTTTCTGTAGGCTTTCATTAAAACGGGTAAGAGATTGAAAATGTGAATTTTCATCCAAACTTGTTGACGTTTCTGGGAAGAACATTTCCCCAGGATGTTCACCGTGGACTGATGAGGTTTGCTCATCCAGAACCTCTGCAATGCTAGATAGTGTGATGTGTTGAAAAGGGCTTTATGGTGGAAGTCTGGCCCGAAGCTGTTGGCTTTGAGCTACTTGGCAGTCCTTGCTTTGGATGCACTGCTGGTGAACACAAAGGCTGGAAGGGCGAGCTCCCCACCAGCTCCTTCTCCCTCCCTTCCCACTCACCTGACGTTAGGCAAGCCAGTGCTTTTTTAAGCTGTGCACACCATACTTTCCTTCCTCTCCTTGGGATTTGTACCTGCGTTGTACAGTTCTGCTGGCAGAACATTGTCTCATGGTTCTGAAGGATCTATAAAGCCTGCTCCAGGCCTGCTTTGGGTCCAGTTAATCAGGTCTGTTTGTCTGATTCTAGGAGAACAGGCCTGTTGTGTATATCAAGCCCTACTAAGGTATTCTGTTAATTGAGAGAAACAGTTTTCTTAACCTGCTTCTGTTGTATGTCTCCTCCCAAAAGCCACTCTGGAGGAGACTCAGTGAGGAAAAGGTAGGGTGAGCAATTAAACAATGTCATGTAAGCTACAAATGTGTTTCCTTTCCTGGCACAGTCACCACCAGTCACCACTCATCCTCCTACAAGTCCAAGTCCTCCAGCACCGTGACCTCCACCAGCGGTCACTCTTCAGGGAGCTCGTCTGGAGCCGTTGCCTATAGGCAGCAGCGACCAGGAGCACATTTCCAGCAGCAGCAGCCTCTAAATCTAAGTCAGGTAAGTCAACCAAGACTGATTTTGGTGCATCATCCAGCTATTACCTACCACTGCTCCATCATGGGGTGTCCTGTTCCAGTCAAGTGACAGTTGGACCCTGTGTTGAGTTTGATCAGCTTGTTTCTACTTGACTGCAGACCTTGATCTTCCAGCTCAGGCAGCAGAGGTAGTGCAGATCACACCCCTGAGTGGGCTGGGGGTACTCTTCCTGTGTGTTCTGAAGCCTGATGGTCTAATAGAGTGAGTGGGAATAACATGAGAGAGGAAATGCAGTGACTCAGCCACAAAGGAGTGGAGCAGGAGCCTGTAGGAAGGACTGAATTCTCCTTAGCTGTAAGTAACCATGGGGAGAATATCTTCTGAGTGATGAGAGTGCATAAGCCTGGCTGTGGGACTGGGAGACAAGTCCCCATCAGGTGGGACAAGGCAAACCAGAGCCTCTATTTATATAGGTGACCTCATGTAATGAGTTTGATCCATCCTGTGATAAAGCTGGGCTGAGATCTGGACAAATCCCATTTCTTGGCAGCATGTAGTTCTTGAGCCATTTCCCAGTCTGTGATCAGAACTCTCAGGGATCTTCTCAGGAGCTGCAGGAAATAATGCCCTTTGTACATCCTGCACCTCGGGCCTCTCTCTTCCCTGAGGTGAGTTGAGAAGAGTAGGAAAGTTACAGCTCATTTACCAGTGTTACCAGAGGAGAAGGTCTGGAATGCTCAGGGGACGGTGCTGGTATGCATCCAGAGCTGGGTATTAGCAGAACTGTTTTTTAAAAAGAAAAATAACTTGTTTATTTTGGAGAAGAATGTCTGTTCTTCAACATGCAGAGGAAATTTTAAAATGTGAACAAATTTTAAATAAAAGTGTGTGAAAATGGAAGAAGTGGGCAAGATGCTCTTTGCAAGAGTTGGGGAGGAGTGTGGCTACCATATTTCCACAGTAGCAGCACAGAGTGTGCTTACAAAAAGGATGAAAAGGTTTGGAAGAGTAGAAGGAAATAGCATGGAGCATTTTCCTTCTTGTCTTCTAATTCCCGCTTTATTGGTAATTTAATACTCTCACTACAAATGACTGGGAAAACTCCCTAAATTTTTGTGCAATGCAAGGAAACAACTTAAAAAATCCCTGGAAAAAAAAAGTACATTGGTCTCTTCCCACTGCTAGGAGTTTCCTGTGCTCAAGTAATTTTAGCTAAGGACAATGAAGGCACCAGGCACCTGCAGGATCTAATCAAGCTGAGAGTTTTCTCCTTAAAAATAACGTGGTTTTTTTTACTAACCAAGGAAATCATTAACTGCAAATATCCAAACTGAACAAAAATAAATAGCCTGTTCCAGGCATAGTTAGTCAATCTCATTCCCCTGAGCTATCTGGACACCACAATTTGTCATCAGAGAGTTCACCAACAAAAAACACTTGTTGTCTGAGCAACTGGACTTGAGGAAGATGTTCTTGGAAGCTGGGCGTCCAAGGTTGTGTCTTTTGGTAGCTGTGTCAGCAGGTTGTAGCTCAAACTGTGGGGGACTTGCTTACCTTCTGGGGGTCATTTTGGTCAATGTATGAAACTGCAGGGTTTTCCTGGGCTTGCGAGGGACCCGCTGCTGTCAGTCGTTTTCAGGCAATGCTGAGGGTGTCAGGAGGAGCTCAGGAGACTTTTCTGAGGTTGTCCTGGTGTTGCAGGGAGGCTCCCAGACACTACTGAGGAGGTAAAGAGCCATCTCTCATCTTGTAACCACCTATCACTGTTGCTGTCTTTATCCAGGGCCAGCAGCACATCTCGACTGACCGCACAGGGAGTCACCGGAGACAGCAAGCCTACATCACTCCAACGATAGCTCAGGCCCCGTACTCTTTCCCGCACAATAGCCCCAGCCATGGCACGGTTCATCCCCACCTGGCCGCGGCTGCCGCTGCCCACCTGCCCACCCAGCCCCACCTGTACACATACACCACCCCCGCCGCCCTGGGCTCCACGGGCACCGTCGCACACCTGGTGGCCTCTCAAGGCTCCGCCCGGCACGCGGTGCAGCACACCCCCTACCCCGCCAGCATCGTCCACCAGGTCCCCGTCAGCATGGGCCCGCGCGTCCTGCCCTCGCCCACCATCCACCCGAGTCAGTACCAGGCTCAGTTTGCCCATCAGACCTATATCAGTGCTTCTCCAGCCTCCACAGTCTACACTGGATACCCACTGAGCCCCACCAAGGTCAACCAGTACCCTTACATCTAAACACTGGAATAAAGAGCGAGAGACGCACCCAGCCCGGGGGGAGTGAGGCAGCCGCTTTTGTATTGAAGAACATGACAAACTAACAATGCAATGGGAGGCTCGTGTGAAACTTGAACGAAGGAGACTTTAGGAAGAAAAGAAAAAGAGGAAAGAAGGGGGAAAACCAATTCTACAATTTTTATTTAAAAAAAAAAAAGAAAATGGAAAAAAAGAACAGGAAAAAAAAAATAAACCACAAAAAAACCCAACCATTCTGCACCAAACTAGAGAGAAAGAGAGAAGGAGAAGGACCCTCCAGCGGGTCCTGTCTTTTGAAGAACTTCACCAACAGACTTTTAAAGGTTATTTTCATTCAATAGTGAGCTACATTTAGAAATTTGTTGTCCAGAACACCTAAAATGAAATCCATTAGGTTTTTAATCCTGTAGGTATATGGATTAGGGATTTATCCAGCATTTCAAAGGGTTTATGCAGCAGTATCTGTATCCCAGAGTATAGATAGGTTTGGGGGGGTTTTAACAGAAAAAGAAAGTGGGTAAGGGAGGCTGAGGGTGGAGGACAAAATGTTGTCCCAGTGCTTTAAATTTGGGCCTAACACTGCTACACTTAAACACACCTGGGCAAAACAGGCCATGCAGCACTGGTTGAGAGCAGAAGCAATGGGGGTGTTTCTCCCTCTTCTTGAACACACTGGATAAATCCCTGAGAAATGCTATTCCTAAACAAGATCTCTAATAATGTATGTTGGATTTCAGTTGCATTTTTTTTTAGGTTTTTGTTTTGTTTTGTTTTGGAAGTGTTCCTTTTCAATCCCTACTCATTTTAGTATAGGAGGAGACATTTTAGCTGCCCCAACCCCCTGCCCCCAGCCCCGGTAGAATGTAGCACTATACAGGTCATACCCCTTTTTACTCTTTTGTGTTGAACTTCAACGATACCAATAGACTATTCCTCAATGTGATTGCACAAAGAAAAGTGATATAACATAGGCATGTAACAATGTGATTGTCCAGGTGTGTGTGTGTGTGTGTGAGTGCAGATGCTGCCTTCTCTCTGTGATGTGTTCCTCGGCACAGCCATCACAACTGTCACAGTCTTAGTTTTACATCATTCCCTCGTAGTGCCTTACCAAACTACAGACGCGGTTTAAGGGTTTACTTCCACTGGTACTCCTAGAAACTGACTGAGGCTAGTTGGAATTTACTCTCAGCTCTTTTTCTTTCTTTTACTTCTTCTTCTTTCTTTTTTTTTTTTTTTTTTTTTTTTTTTTTTCTGGTGGGGGAGGGTTGTTACTGCCAATTTTCTCCTGCTGGTGGTGTTGGGCTTTTTTCCCACGTCATCAGTCGTAGCTCACGAGGTGTTGGAGTGGCTCGTTGGGGGTCAGAAGTGCATATAACTGAGTGTTTTGTCAAGCACTGGATGGGCTAGAAGTAACCAGGTCGGTTGTGAGGACCCAGAGGGTCTGGGGACTCATTTGTGGACTGGTCTGTTTCTGTACTGTTGAAATAGCAGGTTTCCTCCCTGGAAACTGAATTCTCATTCTGCTGTTTGCTGATGCTCTCGATGGAGTGGGAGGACAGTGTCCACCCTCATCATCAGGTTGTCCTGGTCATGTGTCTGAAATGGGAACAAAAATATAGTCCTTGATAGGGGGAAACACTAGTTGTTGCCAACATCTCTCACTCTGTCTGTTGATGAGAAGGGGTCAGGAAAGGGCTGGAGTTGAAAAGCAAGCATGAGAAAATCCAGTTGAGAGAGTCAATCTCAGGTTTCTTAAGTGAAAAGAGTATTGTAATACATAGAGCCTTACCCACTCTAACATAGCTGTGACACTGTGTGCCTCCCCTGCTCTCTTTTCACCTACACCCCAAAAAACTGCCTGCAATGGCAGAGTGACCCTGGAACTGGAGAGTAGGTTGGTCCTCCACACCAAGGAATGCTACATGGTTGTTTTGTTTTCCAACAGTTTCTAAAGAGAGCCTTTCCTGTCATTGGTTTGGTTCAGCGGGGAGTTTCCCTGGTAATGGCACTTGCACTGATGCATCAGTACCATCATGCCTGTGGATGTCCTGAGGAGGAAGGAGGGAAAGAAGTTTGGTAGAACGTTTCCATGAAAGCTGAAGTCTATGGGGCTGCTCAGTGCCACTCTACATTTCCATGTAACTAGAGCATGAAGTAGTCAGGTGTTTTGCAAGATGCTGGAAAATAGCAGGTTTGTCGGCAGGGTCGTGAGGGATGGGTTCCCTGAGTGGCAGTGAGGAAGGAGGCTCTCTCAGGTTGGAAAAGCTGACAGAAAGACAAGCACAAATATAATGTTTTGCAGTAAGTGCTTGGCTGGCCTGGAAGACGAAGGGATCCTGCTATGCATAGGCTGTTCAACAAGGCTATTGTCTTCTGGCAAACCACCAAATAACCTTCCTGGTTGCTAGCTCTGGTTCCTGGGCTACTCTTGCACAGTTTTCTTCTCCTGCCTGTCCTTCATTCCAGCTCAATATACTGTAGATGAGGATGCAATCTCCCAGCAGCCTATGCACCTTACCCCGCTCTTGTTTTGGAAAGACACGTCCCTTTTCATCTGAGGCAGGAAAATAAAGCCCTGCTCTCTCTCTTGCATTCCTCTCCTCTCTCACCAGTTCGGGAGCGAGAGCATCATGCTGCTTATGTCATGAAAAGGAAAGATAATGTTATTTTATTGTATGGTTGGTGTGATTATTTTATTATTATTATTATTATATTTTACTCTGGGTTTTAATTGCACATGCATTCCTTAAACTTTGTGGGGTTTTTTTTTTTCTCTTATTGTTGTTATTGTTGTTAATTTTATTTCTCTTCATCAGTGGCATTGGAAGGGTTACTGTGATTATGAGAACTGCAGGAGGAAGGAGAAACAAGATTATTCCAATGATGAAAACTCTGCCACTAATCTGGGGGAGTGGGACCGCTCAGTGAGAGTGGTTACGGCCTTGAGGAAGAGGAGTTATCCTCTGGGTCACATCTGCATTTCAGGATAAGTCCAGAAACATTCATTCATACCTGCTAGCAGCTAACATAATGATCTGTCAGGAGAGCAGGATCAAAGGCAGGTAAGGACCTTGGTGCCCCAGGGTCCAGCTCACCATCCCTTAGTTTGAAAGGATGTTTATCCAAGATTAAGACTTATTTGTGCTCCAAGCCATGATCATTGAGCCCTTGCAAAGAACACAAGGCCACACTACATATTAAGAGTTTGGTTTTCCTAAAGGAGGACACGGTTGGATGGCTCTCCAGAAGCACGGCTATCGAAGGAGCTACAGCAGAGCCGCAAGGGTGGCTCTCAGTCCCATCACTGGATAAAGCACACTGGCACACACAGATGGCATTAGCTGGGTAAAGCATGGCTGCAGACAGGGCAGTGTTCCTCACCTGCTCTTCCACTCTCACTGAAGACTTAATTAGGTGTCCACAGGCCAGAATGCTTGGTTTGATTTTTTTCTTTGTTTGTTCCTGATGTAGATTTTCCCTTCTTTTACAATTATTTGTTGTGGAATTTTGTTATGCTGTTCTGGTTGCTACAGTTTAGGTATTTATGATTTGATTTCCATCACCTGCTCTTTTAGAATAGGGGGAAGCAGTGACTGAATTTAAATTCCATCAAAAAAATTATAGGACTTCAGCAAAGACTAAAAGTTAATCATGCACTTGAGTGCTTTGCTAAAGAACTTCAAGTTAAATACTTGTTTATGTGCTCCTCCAGCATAAGATTAGCAAAGCATGGAAGGTTGCAGTCTCAATCACAGTAGTGTTTTACTTGTATTAATTGCATTTTCCCTGTGTACCCATCTGGCCTGCTCTCCCACATGGGCTCAGATCTGATTTTGGGGGTTATTTGGCAGTGGAACTGTTACAACAGCACAGACTAGCAGAGAGAAGGGTTGCAGTGCATGTCAGAGGAGCCACCTTTCACATTGTCCATCCTGGAGTTGCTGGTCTGCCAGACGGTCGTGGTGATGGGATGCTGATTACAAGAGATGCACAGCACAGCAATCATATTGCTTTGATGGTACAACACTGTGAGAGCTGTGTTTTCTGATGGATATAAGGGAGCTGAGCAACACCTCCTCCCTCACTCTTGTGTAAAGGAATTGTATGGATGAAAGTGTGGTTGGTCATAGGGGAAACACAGTCATTTCAGCAGAGGAAGTAAAAGCTTTGCATGCTGTCAGTACCACACACATAACAATAGCCAGCTGGTTTTGCTTGCAGAGTCCTTTGGAGAGGAAGTGGGATTGGCATGGTTTGGTTCAGTTGGTGTTCCTTGTGTGCATGGAGTACATGGTATGGAAACTTGAGGGGGTAGGAGAATGTTTAGATACTGGAAGATTAATGGGTGGCTTATGGCTGGCAGAGTGAAAAAGTGGTTCTTTTCCCCATCATGTCCTCTTGCATTCTGCCTGTGCAGGAAGCAGAAGGGAGCACAGACATTGTCTCTCCTCAGGAGGACGTTCTGTTGCCTGCTGTGAGGTCGGAATGCAGGAGGGAGGGTAGAGAACCACTAACATAAGCAGACTGGAAAACCCAAATGGAAGCACATTTCGCTGTAGAGTGGTTAAATCCAGTCATCTGAGAGAGCAAATGCAATTGCATCTTCCTTGGCAGGTTTACCTGCTTGTACCCAACAAATTGGGCTTTGGCAGGTCTCTAATTCTCTCTCTTTCTCTAGTAGTTTTGGTGTAATACACAAAACATTCCAAGAAAGGGACACTTTTGACTGTGACATTTTTCCTTTTTTTTATATATTCAAGGGATTGTGTATTGTAATTTGTTTTCAAGGCAATTCCATTAGCAATCTGAAGGGCAATAAACCTGGTTTTTTCTTTAACCAAAGATACTTTTTTTTTTTTTAAAAAAAAAAAAAAAAAGAGAGAAAGAGACTCCTGTCTACTCCAGAAGTTAAATTAAGCCACAAGTCATGAGCACCAGGCAATGAGGATACACCATGGAACTCAATCTTTCCATTCACTTCTTTTTTTCTTTCTCTCTCTCTCTCAAGTTTCTGACATCTTTTTGAGTAGCTAGCTTGACGAGCAGAGAAATTCATACTAAATATTGCTGCTATCCTAAACTGTAGGGGATGTCAAAAACTTTTTTCTTCTCTTGTTACTGTTCACATTGATTTAAGTGTTTTAGTGGTGACATTGCAGTGTGCAAATGGTGAGCTGTGTAGTGGGGATAAG